ACGCGCTCCGATGGCTCCAGATGCCTTCCAAGACGCCTGTCATGACACCAAGAAGGTCCCAGAAGCCTCCAAGACGCTCCGAGAGGCAGCCCAAGAGAGGCCCAAGAAGCCAAAATCGTGCCATTCCTATGGGAAAACGTATATTTTTCGCATGTTCGCATCTTGGGCTTTCACCGCGTCCAAGACGGCCCAAGAGGCCTCCAAGACGGCCTAGGAGGCCTCCGGGAGCGCTCCAAGGCTGCGCACGAGTGGCTCAGGACGGCCCCAAGACGGCCCAAGAGAGCCCCAAGACGAGTTCGAGAGGGGTCCCAGACGGAGAAAGCCAACCTCGAATTCCGAGCTTCCGGCCCAAGAGGCTCCAGGAGGCGCCAAAATGCCGCCAAGAGGCGCCACAAGGCTCCCAAAAGCACCCCAAGACGTTCCGAGAGGCACCCCAAGAGAGGTCCAAGAAGCAAAAATCGTGCCATTCCTATGGGAAAACGTATATTTTTCGCATGTTCGCATCTTGGGCTTTCACCGCGTCCAAGACGGCCCAAGAGGCCTCCAAGACGGCCTAGGAGGCCTCCGGGAGCGCTCCAAGGCTGGCTGGCTCGGCCCCAAGACGGCCCAAGAGAACCCCAAGACGACTTCGAGAGGGGTCCCAGAAGGAGAAAGCCACTCTCGAATTCCGAGCTTCCGGCCCAACACATCCCAGGAGGCGCCAAAACGCCGCCCAGAGGCGCCAAAAGGCTTCCAAAATCAGCCCCAGACGTTCCGAGAGGCACCCCAAGAGAGGTCCAAAAAGCAAAAATGGTCCCATTCATATGGGAAAACGTATACTTTTCGCATGGTCGCCTGTTGGGTTTTCACCGCGTCCAACACGTCCGAATAGGCTCCCAAGACGGCCTAGGAGGCCTCCGGGAGCGCTCCAAGGCTGCGCACGAGTGGCCCAGGACGGCCCCAAGACGGCCCAAGAGAGCCCCAAGGCGTGCCCGAGAGGGGTCCCAGAGGGAGAAAGCCACTGTAGAATTCCGAGCTTCTGGCCCAAGAGGCTCCAGGAGGCGCCAAAATGCCGCCAAGAGGCGCCACAAGGCTCCCAAAAGCACCCCAAGACGTTCCGAGAGGCACCCCAAGAGAGGTCCAAGAAACAAAAAACGCTGCAAAACTTAACACAACCATGACTAGAACCTAAGCGCGCGCGAAGCGCGCGCGTGGTTCTAGTATATATATATATATATCAGACAAATGAGTCGATCGCCCGCCCAGGCTTCGAGGCCCCCCTGCTGAAGCAAACGATGATTTATTGCTTCGCCGGGGAAGCGTCCGGAATATGACTGCATTCGCGCGAAGCGCCAATGCTTCCTTGTCTTATATATGCACATATCTATATATATATATATATATATATATATATATATATCGAGCAACCCATGCAGTGTTCGGGTCTTTCTCAGGTGTAAGGTGTTTTTTTTGGTTGTGTACGACAATGGTATGCGGCGCCATCGAAGCGAGATCCCCAGTGTTAAAACCGGTCCGCGCGTCCACGCTATCTGACTTCATCCGCCCTTGGAAACCTCGTGCAGCTACGAGGACGATGAAAATATGGATGTGGATGCTGTTGCTGCTGGGGCCCACAGCGATCCAGGGAGCGCTTGGGGACGGATTGTAGCGCTTGGGAGCGCCTGCGAGCTGGAGCGTCTGGGAGCACCAGGGGCAGCCTGGGGAGCGCTTGGGTTCAAAATCGGAGTCGGCGAGGGGTGCGCGAAACGTATCGATGTATGTTGTATTTGCGATCGATGTAATGATGAGTTCTGCATTTTGCGCCTGGGAGGGATTCGCGGGGCCAGGGGGTGGGCCGATGTTGAAGTTTAGGACGATGAGGGTTGGGTCGGATGGATGTGCGGCGAATTGTATTTTGGTGCGTCGGATGGTGGGGGTTGGGTCGGACGGATGTGCGCCCAATCGTATATCATACATCGGACGGTGAAGGTTGGGTTGCGTGGATGTACGCCGAACACTTATGATATCTTGCACCGGTTGGTGAAATTTGGGTCGGCTGAAGGTGCACCGAATGTTTGTTGCATCGACGAACGGTCGGGTCGTGTGGATGTGTGCCGAGGAGTATTTTTTAGTGTGGACGGTGAGGGTGAGGTCGTATGGATGTGAGCAGACTTAGACTTGTTGCATAGGATGGTGACGGTTGGGTCGGATGGGTGTGCGCCCAATTTTTTTTGGCGTAGGACGGTGGGGGTCAGGTCGTATTGCTGTGCGTGGCGCTATGGCGGGAGCCGGTTTGTGAAAATGAGCTGGCTTCCATCCTTGAAGCGGCTGCAAGTTTTTATGACGAGCGTGCGCGGCGCTATGGCGAGAGCCACGCGTTGAAAACCAGCAGGGCTCAATCCTTGAAGCGGTTCCAAATTTTGAGGCGAGTGTGCGCGGCGCCAATTCGATAACCACATTTTGAAAAACACCCGGGCTCTATCAGTTAGCGAGGAAGTGTCAGGCGAAACGCCTGGCCTGGCCTACGGACACGTCCGGTGGTGCGACAGGGACACGTCCGGTGGTGCGACAGGGATGAGGAAAAGCAGGAACAGGACGGAGAGGATGAAGATTATATTAAAGGCGATACGAGGGGCAGGATGATGATGATGATGCTGATGATGATGATGATGATGAGGAGGAGGAGGAGGATGAGGAGGAGGAGGAGGAGGAGGAGCATGAATAGGAGGAGGAGGAGGAGGAGGAGGAGGAGGAGGAGAGGGAGGAGGACGGGTAGTGCGAGGAGAAGCATGAGGTGGAGGAAGGCTAGGATGAGTACGAGGAGGACAGAACATGGAAAGGAGGATGATGGTCACGGTGATGCTGGTGGTGATGATGCTGATGGTGACGATGATGACGATGATGACGATGATGTTGTTGTTGATGATGATGATGATGATGATGATGATGATGGCGATGATGATGGCGGGCATGATGAGGAGGACGGTGTGGAACGATGCGTGCCTTTTTCGTAGCAGTGGTGGCTGGGTGAACTTGGATGTCGTCGTAGGCTCTGACATCCATGTTCGGGAGCGTGTTAACAACATTGTTTCGTTGTATTGCGCATGGTTGGAACAGAGGGTGCTGTACCTTTCGGGCCTGCTTCGTTGTAGCACTCTTGCGTTGTTTGCTTTGTTACACGGGCGTGATGCGGAGGACGGCTCTTGTCAGGTGATGCCTTGGGACACTCAGGCCAGAGCAGAATTGCCAGCTTGTTTAAAGCTGTCAAGCGTCACCCCAAATTGTCTGCCTGAACCATCCTTGAGCAAACCATTAATTACATCCATTATGTAGAGGAGGAGGAGGAGGAGGAAGAGTTAGAGGATGAGGAGGAGGAGAGGAGGAGGAGGAGGAGGAGGAGGAGGAGGAGGAGGAGGAGGAGGAGGAGGAGGAGGACGAGCAGGAGGAGGAGAGGAGGAGGAGGAGGAGGAGGTGGAAGGTGGAGGAGAGGAGGAGGAGGGGTGGAGGAGGAGGGGGAGGAGGAGGAGAAGGAGGAGGAGGAGGAGGAAAACTAAGAAGAAGCCGAATCATATATATATATACTCGTGATAACACTCCTACTAATAATACTGATAATAATACTGCTAATAATAAAGGTGATAATAATACGATTAACCAACAGAAGAAAACGAAGCCTAATACTAATGATAAGAATAGACATACTCATAATAATAAGGAAACGAATGCTATGAATAAAACCAAGAAGATGAATCTTACTACTACAAAGAAGACTGCTACTAATACGAATACTAAGACGAAACCAAATAAACCGAACCATAATACTATTAATACTGACAGTTGCAATACCGATGGTACTACCAGTAATGATACTACTATTCGTACTGTTAACATTATCAATAGTAGTGACACTACTAGTATTATGAACACTACCAATACTACTGATGTTATTACCAATCATACTAATTCTATTACTACCAACAATAGTAATACACATATTGCTAATACTAATGCTGATACCAATCATCCGAATATTACGCGTAGTAAAAATACGAATGCAGCCACTAATACGGAGGAGGGGAGGAGGAGGAGGAGGAGGAGGAGGAGGAGGAGGAGGAGGAGGAGGAGGAGAGGACGAGGACGAGACGGGACGAGGAGGAGGAGGAGGAGGATGAGATGATGAGGAGGAGAGGAGGAGGAGGAGGAGGAGGAGGAGGAGGAGGAGGAGGAGGAGGAAGGAGGAGAGAGGAGGGAGGAGGAGGGAGGGAGGGAGGGGGAGAGAGGAAGACAAGGAGGAGGAGGAGGAGGACGAGGAGGAGGAGGAGGAGGAGGACGAGGAGGAGGCGAGGAGGCGAGGAGGACGAGGAGGGGAGGAGAGGAGGAGGAGGAGGAGGAGGAGGGAGGAGGAGGAGGAGGAGAGGAGGAGGAGAGGAGGAGGAGGGAGGAGGAGGAGGAGGAGGAGGAGGAGGAGGAGAGGAGGAGGAGGAGGAAGGAGGAGGAGAGGAGGAGGAGGAGGAGGGGGGGAGGAGGGAGGAGGAGGAGAAGGAGGAGGAGGAGGAGGGAGGGAGGGAGGGAGGGAGAGCTGGGGTGGGCGGTGGCAGGGAGACGCACGGAGCTGCGGAGACGAAGCGAGGGCCAGACACCGCAGGAGAGCTGGGGCATGCGCTTTTTGCGTCGGCGGCTCGGCAGAGTGACTGCGCTGGCGGAAAAGCATTGGTAGGGCATACGAACGCGAATTGAACCGAAATGCACGGGGGAGAGTGGAGGAACACCCCCAGCGGTGGCGGGAGGGAGACGGAAGTCGGGCCCGCTCAGAGCGGGGCCAGGCGGCCGCGGGGTGGCGCCAGGGGCGGGGGCCAGCAGCAGCGGGGCGGCGGCTGGGGGGGGAAGCTGGCATGGCAGGCTGCCAGGCAGCAGGCCGTGCAGGCGGAAGCAAAGCAATCTGGAGCATACACACACACATACACACCAGAACTTTGAAGTGGAGGCTCCCTGGATGGGGTCCCATCGGAGGCGGGATGCCCGCAGGAGGCCCTGGCAGGCGAGGTGGAGCAGCTGCGGACGAACGAGGAGAAGGCGAGGACGGTCCTGGCTGGGCTTGTGACAGAGGTGGCGCAAGTCAAGGACGCGGCAGCTCCCGCGGTCTCGAGACCCAGTTTATTGTTCCTCGTCGTCGTCGTCGTCGTCTTCGTCGTCGTGGACGACGTCGTCGTCGTCGTCGTCGTCGTCGTCGTTGGAAGGGGAGGATGATGAGGACGGAGGGAGGGAGGAGGTGGAGAAGGAGGAGGATGCCCCCCCCAACTTCCCCTTCGCCCTTCCCTCCTTCTGCTCCCCGTCCCGCCTCCTCGAACTTCTGCCCTTCCTCGCTCCTCCTTCCTCCTTGCGGCTGGGCCGCTCGGACCGCTCCGGCCTCCCCGACCCGGCGCTGTGGTCCTTTCAGAGCGCGGACCTCTGGAGGCCCTGGGCGGCCTCCCCCAGACCAGCTCTTCCCTCGTGTCGCTCCTTGACAGTCCCCAGGGCCTGGCGAGGGTGCCCCCCCCCTAGATGCCGAACCTTGCCGAAAACCATCCGTCGTCGGGGCAGGCCAGCTCCCGATCCTCCTCCTCCTCCTCCTCCTCCTCCTCCTCCTCCTGGCCCTCTCGGCCCTCTCGGCCCTCCGGGCCCTCCCAGCCTCCCGCCTCGCCGCGCACTCTCCGCCCCCCCCCTCCGCCTTTCCTCCCTCCGCCCCGCTCCCCCCCCGCCCCTCGCGCCCGCCCTGCGCCCGCGCTCCGCCCCCGCCGCCCGCCGCCCCGCCGCCCGCCGCCCCGCGGCTCCCGCCCGGAGATCCGGCGCCGCCCGAAGGTCCGGCGTCTCCCGGAGATGCGGGGCCCACACATGACCATAGCTTCGCTCGAACAGTGTGTGTTGTTTGTTCCGTTGCTTTCGTATTGCCTACTTTGTGCGCGGCCGCCGTCGACTGCGATGCATTGTCAGAATCGTGTGACTGCATGGGTCGCAGTCGTGTGCGCTGTGCACCTTGAAAATAATAGGCGCTGCTTGAAAACAAACACATGACTATAGCTTCGCTGTCTTGATACGCCCGTGTTGGAAGGCAGCACGTACCGTGTTCAAGACGTCCGCGTTAACACGCTGCGTGTGGGTTCGGCACGTGTTGCTCCACGTTTTGGCGAACGTGTCGCGCCAGACGTACGTATTCAGTCTACGTGTTGAGCTCCGTGTCAACACCACGCGTTGCGTGTTGCGTATCGGGGAAGCTAAGCGACCACGCTGGGCGAAGTCGCCCTGCGTGAGAAGCTTGCAGCGCACGGATCGGAGGGTGCTTGGCGCCGAGGACACGCTGCAGAGTGGGGAGTTGGCGCCCATCCAGGCGCTGGCCAGGCACGCGGACGTCATCCTCTCCAACGTCCATGGCATGGCCCGGGAGGCGTGGGTGGCCTTCACGGACGAGGCCCTCACAGAGCCCGAGGAGGAGTTGTTCCGCGTGCCGCGGCTGCGCGCCAGCGCCCTCGTGGTCCTTAAGGACGCCGCCGCCGCCGTCGCCGCCGTCGTCACCGCCGTCATCGTCATCGTCATCGTCATCGTCATCGTCGTCGTCGTCGTCGTTGTCGTCGTCGTCGTCGTCGTTGTTTTTTTTGGCTCTTCTTAAAAATCGCCCTGGGCGTTCTTTGGTGTTGGTTTTCTTATTGTCCAGCTTTCCAGCGTTTTGTCGAAGGCGGCTCCTTGTCTTCACTGCCGCCTTCGCTTCCGCTCTCCTGTTCCTGCCGCCTCCCGTCCCTTCCGCTCCGCGCGCAGAGCGCAGAGCTAAGAACTCCCCCAAACGCCCTGACACCGGTCTAAACTGGCGCGGAACAAGCCTGGAGGCCCCGCGACCAGCCAGCAGCGACGACCGTAATCCAAATGTATGCAGCACTGGACGCAAGGAGAAGGGACTGAGGACGTGGCAGACGGCCATGTGAAACAGCGCAATCAACTGAGCTGAAAACGCCCCCAAACGGAGCTCGAAACACCCCCCCAGAAATGTATATAGTTTTTTTGCGCTTTTTGTGGTTTCCTTGTTGGGACGTGCAAGCGCTAAAAGCAATCATGTCCAACACGCCGAGTTTTTTTAAAGGTAACAAAAAGCGCCCAGGGCGTATTTGCGAGTCGAGGGTGGTGCCCCCACCTCCGTGATCCGCGACAACAATCACGAAGCAGGCTTGTGGCCGTCGTCTTGCTCCGAGGGCCCTCGCCGGGCCCCTTGGCCGTGAAAGTCGACTCGGGGGAAACTTCTGGTCCCGGGGAGGTGATCGAGAACTCCGAGGGCCCGCGTGGTAAAGAGCACGGCTTCGGAGAGGGCGGTTGCAAGGTGCGCCGATGGTTCCTCTCCGCCGCCACGCCGTGCCCAGGGGGGGAAGAGGATTAGGAGGAGGAGGAGGAGGAGGAGGAGGAGGAGGAGGAGGAGGAGGAGGAGGAGGAGGAGGAGGAGGAGGAGGAGGAGGAGGAGGAGTGGTTCGAGGAAGGATCGGCGAGGTTTGTCTCATCAGTTTCGGCCCCTGGAGGCCCAGCGGGAAACCAACACCGCACCTCGAGGGGAGCGGCCATGCGCCGGGGGCCGCGGGGAGGCCTGCGCCGCACGCCGGCGGGGGACTCCTGGGGCTGCTCGCGGCCCGAGGCCAGGCCCCCCGGCCCTCTTTTGGCTTCGGCTCCCCTCCTGCGCGCCGAGAGGAAGTCGACAGGGCCCAGGAGATGTTCGGCAAGCTGGGCAGGCTGCTCGGCGCCCGCATCTCGGAGCGCTACGAGCTGAGCGACCTGCAGGACGACGCGACCACCGCGTGCGCCACGCTCTCGCTGGCGCGGCAGCTGCTTCAGCCAGTGGCAGACGGCAGCGCGGAGGAGACGAGGGCAGGCCAACCGCAGCGGCAGTGAGAGGTATCGTCCACCCCTCCTCTCCCCTCTCCTCTTTCTGCTTGCCCTAAGTATACTCCCCTCCTGCTCCTCGCCGTTTCATAGCCAGATGAGCCGTGCTACGCTTTGGTATAGATTACCCGAAGGAGTGGGACCTGACGAGCGGCATCGAGGGTTTCGTGCAGTCGACCGCAGGACTGGACAGCATCTACATGAAGGTTTCCGAGGGGGCTTCTGCACAAGAGGGCGATGTACACAGACAAAACGTACCTTTGCCATGATCTCCCCCTTTCCCCTCTCCCCCCTCGTCATCCCACGCGCGAGGCGCCACAACCCTTCTCCATGCTGCTGCTTCTGCATCCCCAGCCCGAAGCGGGCTCTTGCCTTTCTTTTGCTCGGCCAGTGCTCGTGGATTCGGCCGATGCTCAGCCGCGCGTTTGCTCCTTCTCCTTCTTCTTCCCCTCCCCACTTCCTCCTTTCTCTTCTCTTTCCTCCTTCTCCCTCCTCCTTTTCCTTCTCCCCCTCCTCCTTCTCCTTCTCCTTCTCCTTCTCTGTCTCCTTCTCCTTCGCCTTTTCCTTCTCCTTCTCGCTCTTGTCCTCCTCCTCCTCCTCCTCCTCCTCCTCCTTGTCCTTCTTCTTCTCTTTATCCCTCCCCCTCTCCTTCTCCTCCTCCTTCTCCTTCCCCTTCTCCCTGCCATTCTGATCCCGGGCTCCTCCTCCGCCGCCCCCATCCTCCTCCTCGTCGTCCTCTCCCCCTCCCATGGCTGGCTCCCCGAGCGGCCGGGCACCCCTGGAGCCTCAGGTCCCGTCGGAGACTACCACGTGGGTCACGCGGGTCGAGCCTCCTCCTCTTCCTCTTCGTCCTCCTCCTCCTCTTCCTCCTCCTTTTCCTTCTCCTCCTCCTCCTCCTCATCCTCATCATCATCATCGTCATCATCATCATCAGCATCATCATCATCACCAGCAACATCGTCATCATCAGCATCACCATCACCACCACCCACCACAACCACCACCATCAGTATCATCATCAGCATCATCATGCCCATCTTCATCATCATCATCGTCATCATCGTCGTCATCATCATCACCATCATCATCATTCGTATCATCACCATCATCGTCACCACCAACATAATCATCACCATCACCATCACCATCACCATCTCCATCTCCATCACCATCAGCATCACCATCGCCATCACCATCGCCATCACCATTGTCATCACCATCGCTATCACCATCACCATCATCATCACCTTTACCACCACCATCATCTTCACTACCACCAGCATCATTAGCATCATCATGCTCATCATCATCATGCTCATCATCATCACCATCATCACCATCACCATCACCGTCACCATCACCATCACCATCACCATCACCGTCACCGTCACCGTCACCACCATCACCATCACCATCATCATCGTCATCATCACCATCATCATCACCACCATCATCACCATCATCATCACCATCACCATCGTCGTCATCATCACCAAGATCATCAGCATCAGCATCATGATGATCACCATCATCATCACCATCACCATCACCACCATCACCATCACCAGCATTACCATCATCATCATCATCATCATCATCATCATCATCATCATCATCATCATCATCATCATCATCATTATCATCATCATCATCAGCACCGTCACCATCATACCATCATCATCATAACCAGCATCATCAGTATATTATTATTACTCTGCATCATCATCAACATCATCTCCACCATCGTCATCATCATCACTATCTTCAAGAGGCATGAGAAGGAGGATACTGGAGGATGCTGGTGACGATGATGATGGTGATGATGGTGCTGCTGCTGCTGATGATGATGATGATGATGATGATGATGATGATGATGAGGAGGAGGAGGAGGAGGAGGAGGAGGAGGAGGAAGAGGAGGAAGAGGAGGAGGAGGTCGTCACTTTTTTTGAGTACGTTGGAGATCTGGCCCCTACAACACTTGAGGCATAGGCCTAAACATGGGACTGGCCGAGCGGCGGCCCATCGGTGCGTCACACACCTTACATGTTTGACCAGTTGTGCCCCATGAGACCGACAGCAGACACCATCAGCGGCCAGCTGTCCTTTTCCTCATCCACTTCTCGGTAGTACCCTCCTAGCAGACTGCGGCATTCACTGGTCACCTCAACCAACGCGTCCAGCAGCAGCAACGGTTGGTAAGCAGCGACTACCTATTTTCTGCGACTCCCACTCCACCACTTCCTGGCGACGGCATACTCCCACCTCCACGAGCACCCTCATGGCCATCACGCAGCACAGCACTTACGGCGAAGACAACTACAACAGGCTACGCTGTGCACTGGGTCCACTGCAATACAGGGCTCCCAAACTCGCCATGGCTGTTTCACCACGTATGCCATCTAATCGCTAGGTCTCGAGAGTGCAAGCTGCACAAGACCAGTGGATGTAGCTCTCTCATGCGCCTCTTTGGTGGGGGCTTTAACCACCAGCTGCGAGCTGGGGCCCTGCAGGTCGCAACACGAAAAGCCTCCTTTCCACTGGTATTGTTAGGGCCTTACCCAAACTTTACTCCCTCCTGGCTCACCTCCTTGCAGCCCCCGCTCCCCCCCCACCTTCGCGCCACGAACCTTCGCCTGCCCACTCTTGTGGCAGAGGGACGGGTGGGATGCTGTTCACAGACGGCATTCTTGGCGTTGGCTGGGGCGGCCGCGGAACGCACGCCACCTCGCACCCACTCAGCCTGTCGGAGCCGCTGGCCTCCCCACAGATCCCACATCGGGGGATCACATATTGGGGGGGGGAGAGATGGGACGGACCACGCGCCAACGGCTGCCCAGGCTCTGGCCAGGGCGGCCGCGTGAACAGCAGCCGCTCGCTTGGCCGCCACCGCGGAAGGCACAGACCTCCCCCGCACCCGGCGGAAACCCCGCGACGGCGCCCAGCCCCTTCCTCGGGAGGTCTTGCCTGCCTCGGCGGGCGCGTGTTCCCTTGGCGGGACCGTGGGCCGTCCCTCGGGGGCTCCCGCCTCTGAGCCCTCGAATGAGATGTGTTGAAGTTCTGAAGCCTGCGGCCGAGGAGCCGACACACGCGAGCATCGTGTCTGGAGCCCTCCTTCTCCTTCTCTTCCTCTTCCTTCTCCTCGGGCCGCTCTCCTGCGCATCTCCCTCCTCCATCCCCGCCCTCCTCTCTCCACAAGGAGCTCCAGGACTCCGGGAGGTCCCCAGGGGGAGAGCTCGTGTACGGCAGTTTCGGGGCGCGTTGACGTGGCTGCGATCCTGGCGCGGGCGTTCACGGTGGAACCCTTCCAGTGGCCCAGAATCGGCCGACATCAAGCGCCCTGCGCCATCGGAAAGGCGCGATCGTTCAAGGTCGAACGACCTGCGCGGTGTCAGAAACCACCGTTTAGTTCATCGCGACGTGAACATGCCGCAGGAGCGCCGCCCTGACCGAAAGGTGCAGGAACGCCTGATGTACAGGAACACCAGCTCGGCCGACACCGAGCTCGAGCTGCTGCTCGCGTCCACAGACGGCTACTTCCACAGAGCCATCCGCGAGGACGTGCACCGGTCTGTGCTCCCCCTGTTCGAACAGGTCGCCACGGAGAGAATCCATCGGGGACTGAAGATGGAGGATTGAGGTTTTCGGGCGCCCTTCTGTTTACTTCACCCTTGGCCTCCACGCAGCTTCTCGTTGCCACGGCTGGCCCTCGAAGTTTTGGCCAAGGTGCGCACCAGGAGAGGCCTCGGTGCTGATCCCTGCAGGGCCGCCGCCAAGACATGGGGGGTCCTGGAGGCAAGGAGCCCTGCAGGTGCCTTCCTGGGGGGGGCCGCTCTCGGGCTCGGACGGCCCTCGAGGCTTCCCGGGGCCGTTGGCCACAAGTGACAAAAACCACGGCGAGAGGTTTTGCGCTACTGTCGGCCTCCGGGGGTCCTTTCCGGGCCTCGGGGCCGTCAAAAAACGACTCAGGATGAAAAACCGGTCCCCGGGAAGGGGTCCAGACCTCTGGGGGTCGACGTTGTGAAACAATCACGACGTCGGGGGTCTGGGTGCACGCTGGTCGTTGAAAGCAGGTATGTTTGGGTTCCCATGCCCTCATCTGCTTCAAGCACCTTCTTGACTGTAATTCAAGAGCCGATCGTGTGCTTTTGCTTTGTGTTCGTTGTTCTCTGGGAGGGCCTGAACCCAATCTACCTTTTCCGCCTTCCTTTGAACCCTCCCCCCTCCTCTTGTCGACGCGCCGACGCTTTGTCCCGACGAATTGTGTTCTGAACTCACGACGTCGACTTGTCGCCCGCCGCTCGCTCGCACGACGCACGTCTGCTCGGTGCGCGCGGGGGCCGGTCAATCCTTAGTGAATGCTCTGTTGCCGATGCGCCGTCCGGGCGCCTGGCTCCTCTTTGAAGCCTCCTCCTCCACCTCCTCCACCTCTCGTGAGGAGGAGGAGGAGGAGGAGGAGGAGGAGGAGGAGGAGGAGGAGGAGGAGGAGGAGGAGGAGGAGGAGGAG